ATGACTATGACTAGTGATGTAAAATTATGAACATGACCTATGCGACTACATTGCACAGACCCGTGACTTCATCTACCATTTATCAGAAGAGTTCTTACCCATTCCCAATAAATAGTAAAGGCATTTTTTGCTGAGTTCTGAATTTTTTGATTCCTTGCGATCTCATAATTAGACTCACCCTTTGTACTGCTCACGAACTTCTTTTCTCAAGTGATAGAATTGGTCGCCGACTTCATTCATCACTTCCCACCTGTTAGCCTTTCCAGTTATCATTTTACTGATCAACTTTTTCTAAGAAAAGGTGAAAATCGCGGTAAATAGTAGAAGACAATATAATGAGCACAAGAAACAAACCGCACATGTCTTGGCGTTTGCCATGCTAACCACTCTGGTTTTAGCGGATCCGGCTCAAGCACTTCTTCTTCGTATTCCACCATATGTTCTTCAGCTGATAAATCATTAGCTTAGCCACATGCACTTCCTTCTGAGGGCTTCAACCTTCAATTTTTGAAACTTACAAGCAGCGTTCCGTTCTACACGTTTGGGTTTTGCTTCATAGTTGAGAAATTCGGCAAGAAGCGCGCTCTTCTTACGTTGTGGTAGCCCATCAAAATATTGGTCCAGCTGAAACATAGAACTTGAACTAGTCGGAAGAAATTCACTAGGAAAAAATATTCTTTTTGCCGCACTTGTTTTTGATTATTAACCCTATTAAGGTTGATAGTAAGCAATTTCTGAAGGAAAAGAAAGATTTTATGCATTATTTTCTGTTATTATATGCAATCACACCTTAGTTATGATATCTCATTTTGAATATCTAGACCATATTTCCCTATATTATTCGTAAAAATCTTGTCTTACGAAATTCAAAAATCTTGATTTTTGGCAACCTTGCTTGTATTCTTCTGTGACTTGCAGAAATTTGAATTTTGTTATCACTTAGAGAAGTCTCTCTTTCTTAATTTTGTATTATTACATATATAAGCAGAAACTCACAACTTCATAATCTCATTCATCTTGGACCCAAGCTAAATATCTGCATAAGTGAGATACTACATAGATTTCATGTTCATTTTGCTAAAGTGCTCAAGTAGTTTGGTTATGAACTTACTTTTTTCATCAATGCCAATAAAAAGTTGAAAAACTGTACCTTCTGACGTTGCGCAACCTCAACCTCAAGCTTCATAAGAAGAAAAGGATTTCTTGGTCACGATAGTACCTAGTAACACCACTATTCTGAAGCAGTGTAAGTCATCGTACAATTTAGATCTAGCAGATGCTTAATTTCTTTTTTGTATTTTATCGAACGTTGTCACATCATAGAATTGAAATGTCACGGTGAAGAAACACCTTTTGCTCATCATTTTCGATGTAGTAAAGTAAGTATCCCTCAAACAAACCACCAAATGTTTATACGTGCCTTCTCATTACCATTTCAATATGATTG